TACCACGGAATACCTTAGCAACTTCTACAAAAACGGCTCTAACTGGTGTCAAAGATTCCAGAGCTAGACTAAAAATTTTAGCATGTGCAAATGCTGCAGGATCATGCAAGTGCAAACATTTTGTAATTTTAAAAAATACACAACCTCTAGCACTTAAAGGAGTAAAGATTTTTTCGTTATATATCCTGCAAATAAAAGAGCACAGAGGACACAAGCATTGATGTATGATTGGTTTGAAAATGATTTCATACTAGAAGCTTGGCAAAATTTGAATTCGGTTAGTTTATGCGATGACGCAAGAATTGCCCCGGTTGTAGAAAATTTCCTATTTGTGTGGCTCATATTTCACTTAAAGTTTTAGTGAAAGATAATGTATCCATGTTATTCTTTCCTTCAAACTGTACGCCCATCTTCCATTTTAATCATGGATATTCGAATAGTGTGTGTGCTGAAATGCAAATATAAAATAGCATTTTTAAAATCCATGTTAAATTTCTTGAATATTGGCAAGACTATTCAAGAATTTTTGAAATATTTTAGCATAAAGGCTGCTATGTGGAGCATTGCAAGATCGTGATAGGATGTGTATAGATGTGTAATGATGGCCAGCTACCATATTTCATGGTTAGGATGATGAAGATGATAACCGTGAATTTGAAAGCTTTTGGATATCGCAAAGCGCAGGTTAAATTTTCCAATTAATGGATTTTGTAAAGAAATGTGGAGAATCGGTAATAAGTGAAGATGATATAACAGAAGTTTTCCATTGCAATGACAATAATCAATCAATTAACGGATGGCAAAATCTGTAGTATGGTTCTAGATCCAGAAAATATCATTACTGATGGTAAAGAAAGTGACAGAGAGGTTATTGAAAACGAAAAAATTTCGATTGACTAGTTGGAATTCTTGACATAGCAACTACAGGACTTAAACAGTGAAACTTTGTAACTGAACAAGAAATTATGTCTGTCTATAGAATTGAATAGAAAGTATTAGCACAAAAAAAAAAAAAAAAAAAAAAAAAGGAAACTTAAACAATTTACATTCAAAGAAATGTTTAATAAACAAATAAATATTAAGCTTTTTTTTTTAAAAATTTTGATACCCTTTAGATCACAAATTCTTCTCTATTTCATATTTTTAATTTTATAATCTCTTCATATCATCTTACTAAATTTAAATTGATGATCTAATATACAGAAAAATACCAAATCCTAAATCACTAAAGTCCCAATGAATCCAGACCTCGCACTTTGTAGTGTAATAACAATTAATATTACATTGTGGAATGAAGCAGCTGGAAATGTGCATAGTTATTGATTATGACCAATTAGCTAGACGATGCATATTCATTGAAGAAACTTTGTTTTGTTATCCAGAATATATTTGTGATTGCTGATTAATAAGTACAATAAATTTTTATGTTAAATGCTGCTCTGTAAAAATAATAAACTATGTTATTTAATGCTACTTCAAATTGATAATTTCAATATCAAATTGGTAATTTATTGATAATTTCAAATTGTAGAAGAAACGAGCGAATGTAGAATTTCAAATGAGGCAAAAAATGTAATCTGTGTATAGATTTGTAATAAAACTTCATTTAGAGGGTGATCAGATGTAGGTCCCTTTTGAGATTTATGACTAGTCAAAAATACCCAGATTTACATAAGATACCTAGACAATACTTAAGATGGTAGTGGAAATTTTTCAGTTACCATCACAAGTATGGGGACTTTCTTTTCGTAGATATTGATGTAGGTTTAATGAGTCTAAATTTTATATTCATTCTGTCATAAATTCTGACTTTAATATAATTAATTTTTTATTTATTTATATTTTTAAAGTGGAAGGAAGGCTTTTGTATTTGCTACAAATTCTTTTTATTGTTTCATTGTCATATCACGTATATTTTCATCAGAATTCATTTGATTCTTATGAAACAAATTGAGCACTTTTCTTTATTAATTCAAAATAAATAAAGTTACTTAAAAAAGTCTGAGAAAAAGGTAGCTGTGGAAAAAGTAAAGCAAAAGCCATAAACAACAAATCACTAGATCAATATAAATCATAAATTACATGTAATCCAAGTCACATGAAACATGAAGGACAATAAATCTGATAATAAATTAATATACAGGGTCTTAATAATGAAAAAACTGAATAACTGTTAACAGAAAAAGACTTTTATTTCAAGTTTTCAAGATTTAAACTCGAGAATAAAGAAAATTAGAAAATGAGTTTCTCAAGTTGTTTTCTGTTCGAGGAACTATGTAACAAAGTCCGAGTTTGGAAGTTCTCAATAACTTGCTTTGTAGAGTCATTAGGATTTTTTGGAAGCCAGAGAGATGAAAAATTAACAACCGCCTTCGCCGGGAATCGAACCACGGACCTCTTGCACTATTGGAACTTATCACAGCTGATATCTTGATATCATTGTTTTCAACTTTTGTACGATTTTTGGTCGAACTCTATAGACACTCTGTAGAACCCATGGTAATAGGTCAAGGTTATGCTGATAAGACAAATGCTTATAAGCCAGTGTTATAAAGGTGCATCAAGCAAGTCCTTTGCCAAAGCAATTAGGGAAACCTCTTGCAATGAGACAGCTATCATATTGAAGTGAGCATGTTCATGATATTTGCTGTTGAATGTGGAAGAATATGCTAACCTGCTGAAACTGTGTCTGTGTTTCTAGTAGGCATAGTGAATAAACCTCATTCCCAAGAACTCCGTGTAGAGTTTAAAGTCACTAGACCACTTTCTTAAGGTTTTGGCATGAGTTACAAAGATAAAAAGTTTTGACCAAAAAAAATATGGTTTTTGATTGAGTATCAGTCTATTTTAGCACAAAAAATTAAGAAAAAATTTAACGTTGCCTTTTGTTTCCCTGCGCAAATGTATAGAATTTTGCGGTACCAACGAGGTATTTAAATAATACATTAGCGAAGCACATTGTAACCCATGTAAAATTATGATGTATTGTATATTCTCTAATGTATAACACACACCTAAAATTTTAAGTTACATTTTAAAATTTTTAGGCATGTTTCCCATATAATGTGCTCCCTTCTTTTTACAAAGAAACCTGAAAGATATATGTGCAAAGCTATATATAAGTCATCATTCAAATATTTTTCCAAGACTTTTGAACAATGGTATGCTAAATTGATAAGCGTTAAGGGGAATAATATGTTTGTGAGGTAAATGCTTGAGGCAGTAAATAATTCTGAGAAAAGGATCGGTTCTATTCAGTGCTGATGTGCACAAGAATGTTATTCTAGGGTTTTGAAACTAAAGGTTATAATTTGGAATAAGAATGAATTTCAATTTGATAGAATTTGCGGAATAAGTAGTCAGATAGTTTCTCATTCTGTAATTATTTGAAGCTGTGATTTTGAAATGAACATCAAAGGCTTTAATAAATCTCATTTGCCTTTAGTTGAAATTCAGTTGACGTAGTGTTCCTGTTAGTGGTAAATATGGTTCCTGCTAAAGAAACAAATGCAGTGCTGGTTTTAAATGCAAAAATTCATTCAGTTTGCAAAAGAAATGGAAATCTTGCTGCTACAAGGATGTTTAGGGTTGGTAAAAGCTCTTTATGTGAGTGGGAGAGGAAAATGGAATCACAATAATTAGTATGGCAAAGAATAAATGTGCTCTGCATAAAGGAGTAACAAAATGTTTTCAAGAAGGATGAAACAGACTTCGACGATGTACCTGAGGATATAACAGAAGATGAACAGACACAGTTTTCATGTTATCCGAAAATAAAAAAATTGAAGTTCATAAAATATGCCATTACTTTTAAATAAACAGTAGTTAAATACAGTCAAAAGTCGTTAATCCGGACTCGTCGGGACTTCGGCGATTCCGGATTATCGATTTTTCCGGATTATAGATCATCAGTTTAAATCTCGCAAGATGGCATACACAAATTCTAAAATTAAAAATATGAAACCGTATTTTAGGAAATAAAGAACAATTATGATCTAAAGGGTATCAAAATTTACAAAAAAAGAAGCTTAATATTTATTTGTTTACTTTATTAAACATTTCTTTCAATGTAAGTTGTTTCGTTTTATGTGATAATACTTTCTCTTTAATTCTATAAACAGACATAATTTCCTGTTCAGTTAAAAAATTCCGCTGTTCAAGTCCCGTAATTGCTGTGCCGAGAATACCGACTAACTTGTCAATCAAAATTTTTTCGTTTTCACTAACCTCTCTGTCACCTTCTTCATGTCTTTATCCATTTTTTGCAGCAATTCCACTTTTTGTTTGACGGACATCGATACATACTTTCGTTTTGTAGATCCTTTGGGAGCTCCAGAATCGGAAATTGACATAATCGAAAGTTCAAGTTTACTTTTATAAAATTGCTCTTACGGTCTGCGAAAAATAATAAGCTGCATCCAATTCGAAGATTAAGGAATAACGCAAGCATCAACATTAACTGAAATAGATAATGTATAATTTTAGCTTATACCGTTCGTTATACGTTAAACGCGCACGCGAAAACGTATTCTGCACTTGCGCACACGCATATGCGCAGACGTAAAAGGTCTTGCGCGCACGCGTAAACGCCTATGCGCATGTGTCAACGCGGCGCATGCGCAGAAAGTTTTTAGCTTTGAGGTCCGGATTATAGATCATTCCGGATTATGGGTGTCCGAATTAACGACTTTTGACTGTATATGTAGAAATCTAATTTTTGTATGTTCATCATTTCCTTATTTTTAAATCTGTCATTTTTACATCCAGCATATAATGTGCACCCCAAAATTCCGATCATATATTTGTATTAAAAGAATGCATTATACATTGGGATGTATGGTATATATATTATATATATATATATATATATATGAATTATTTCCTAAACAGTATTGATTAATTGATTATATTATCTCCTAAGTTTAATTAAAGTAGAATTATTTTAAAAGTGTGCATCCATACTGGTAAGTTATGTATGTTTGTACATATTTTTTTTCCAGCTTGGTCTTAATTAACTGATAGATATGAAGAATGCTTTAGATTCTGAGCATGTTGCAGATCTTGCACCAGTTGGACTGAATTTGCTTAACAGATTTGAAATAGTAAGTGTTTTGAGTAAATTTCAGTTTATGTGAACCTGTCATTTTTTTCTTTGCATGTACAGTCAACTTCTGATTAGCTAGAGGCAGATCAACTGTGTTATGGATTAACCAAGTCTTGTCTAAAAAAAAGGAGTGAAGTTCATTTATTGCCAAGTGAGGGGAAGACTAGTCATTGACATAAAAGAAACTCAGCAATCCAAAAAGAAAAAATTGTGGGTTAATAGCAGTGATAGCCGTTGATGTCATAGTTGTTTTTAATCATACCATTATACAGTTTAAGTTATACTTAATCCCAAAGAATTCTGCAGAAATGAAAAGATTCTAATTGATTATTTGGTTTTAACTTGATGTCATTTTTCATGTTCCTTTGTAAATATTGTTCATGAATGCCATTTACAACTTCATTTCTTGTGATGTTCACTCTTTTATTTCAGTACATTCATTTTGTTTTCAAAACTGATTTAATTTGCATAATTTAGTGAACTTATTCTCAAGATTGCTTGAAAATACAAGTAAATTAGTTATAGTATTTTTGGATTTTCCTTCTTTCCCGAAAATGGTGTTTTTTAACTGCTTTCTTATTAACTGTGATTTTTACTTAATCACATGGTCACATTAACACAGTAAATCGGGTGTTGACTATATTTGTGCATTTAATATCAATGTTGGGGCATATGACTTAAGTTCTTTAAGTATATACCATTTTACTGATATCAGGTATGTTAACACTATGCTTGTATAATTCATATAACTAGCTAAATACATCTGCCCCCTGTCCCCCCACCCCCCAAAAAATTGTGTTTTTTTCTATTGAAGCCATTTGGTAATTATTTGTTCCTTAAAGATACATATTGATATAACATCAAAACTGATCTTTCATCGCTGTGTATAATATTAATCTGACAAAAAAAATTAAATTACAATTTTTTTAATTTTGGAAAAGTAGAAGTAATCGCTGGCACCTTTTTAATACAAGCCTAGTAGCACTAAGTTTTTTTCTTTTCTCCTCCCCCCCCAAATGTTACTTTTTCTTCTTCATAGCCTTTCAGGTGCTTTTTCGTATTAATAAAGGATTTTAAAAAATGTTTTAAATGAATAAAGGCATATATGTTTCAAAACTATATTGGGGGTACAGTATTAAGAAAACAGGAAAATGAACTTTTTGATTTTTATACTTATTCTGATACCTCACTCATAGTGAATAACACAAAAATAATTTGCTTTGGTAGAAGTGGCAGTCATACTAAAGTTATGATTGGATGGTTAAGACCACATCACAGAGAGGGTTTGCCATTGATGGGTCTGTTACTAGTGGCTCGTCAAAATATTTCATGAAGAAATAAAGTTGAAAGCACATAATAAGTGTGCACATAACTGAGTGCATAGAGGTTGATTAACCAAATTTAAAAATTACCATGCTATAAAGAAGTTAATATTTTCAAGCAAAACAGCTTCTGTTGATACTGAACAGTTTGCTGACTAATTCATTAAAGTCATCAATAGTGAAAAGTTTAATTCAGAACACATGAATAATGCTGATGAAACTGGTCTTTTCTGGAAGTATGTGTCCGAAATTGATTGGCTACCTCTGTAGAATATGGCACAACTGATGTCAAAGATTCCAAAGCGAGATTAATGATTTTTTTCAATGTGCAACTGCTTCAGGAACACACAAATGTAACTTTTTCATAACTGAAAAATCTGATGTGTACACCACATGACTTCTTTGTATGGAATATTAAATTATACACATTTTTTCCTGCATTTCATTTAAACATATTTCCTCGAATTTTATTAGAGATATATTTGTCATTCAATTAATTCTGTTCTAAATTCGTGGCAAGGCAAAAATACATAAAACTGCAAATATCTTCATTAAAAATTTTAAAATATAGCAAAAAAATAAAACACCAAATACAGTTAAAACAATTTTAACAATTAAAATTAGAGTTTCTACACAAAAACAAGCAATTTGGCCAGCGGGCAACAAGGCAAATATTTCGGTGCACAGAACTAAAAGTTTCCTTTTGGCCCCACTCGGCAAAAACACTGAAGGTGCAAAAAGACTTAATTAACTATTCTGATCAAATGTAAACAAATAAATATGACTGCAATGGTAAGGAAAATTAGGCTTAACTGCACTTAAAGAAATTTTAAATTAAGACACAATAACACATCGAATAAATGCTAATTCAAAAGTAAAAAACAAAAATCAGCATTATATTTTCAAAATTTTCACAGGACTAGTTTCGATGGTTTGTCGAACCACCATCCTCAGCTGCAAAACCGCAAATGAACAAGATAGGAAATAATGATTAGATAAGATAAGAAAGCCTGGAAAAGAATAAGCAAGTGGCGCCATCTGTGGTGAAACCAAAACTAAAACATAATTTCTTTAAAGGCCGAAGGCAAAGATGGATTGGAATTAAGATCGTTAACTAGAACAGAAAGATTTTTGAATGTGAAATGCCTCTAGAAAATCCAGTTCTCCAATGGAAGATGTTTTTTGAATAATTTTGGCAGCAGAAAAATTGAAAGTGTGATTTTCGGACCAACAATGTTGAGCAACAGAAGACTTCTGTGTTTCCTTTTTTCTAACGTATGCCTCATGTTCCTTGACGCGAAATTTTAAGGCTTTCTTAGTTTGACCAATCTAAATTAAACCACACTGGCAAGGAATCCTATAAATACCCCAGGAATTCACATCCGAAATGGGGTCCTTGAGTATGGAACTCGGAATTTTATTGACGGGCGAATAAACAACCCGAAAGATAAATTTCTGCAAAATATGTGCAGCTTTATAGCTAATTGATGAAAAGAAGGGAATGACAACAGAATTTTTAAATTTTTATAATCTCCAAAAACAAGAGTGTGCCTTTTAGTGTGTTGAGATGAGAATTTTTTAACTGCTTGATTAATAATGTTGGGTGAAAAGCCCCTGTCAATAGCTATTGCTTTTAAATAATTTAGTTCTTCATCAAGGGCTAGTTTGGAGGAGCAAACTTGAAGAGCACGGAAAACATAGGAATAAAATGAAGCTAACTTTTGTTTAGTCGGATGACATGATTTAAAGTGTGGTGGAAGGCAAACCGATGAAGGTTTACGGTAAACCAAAGTACTGAAGTTGGATGTTACGTGTGACTAGAATGTCGAGAAACGGAAGAGAATTGCAAGTCTCAAGTTCAAAAGTGAACTGAATAGCAGGATCAATAGAATTCATTGTTGAAAGAACTTTATTTAAATCATCTTTATTACTTTCAAACAGGGTAAAAGTATCGTCAATGTAGCGAAACCATGCCGGGAAGTTTAAAGTTCAAACAATTTTGATTCATAATAATGCACGTAGATATCAGCCAGGATGGGACTGAGGGGGCTTCCCATGGCTAATCCCTCAGTTTGCTTGTAATATTTATTTTGGAAAACAATTGCAATTTTCAATAAGCTATAAAGTTGCACATGTTTTGCAGAAATTTAACTTTCGGGTTGTTTATTCTCCCATCAATAAAATTCCGAGTTCCATACTCAAGGACCCCATTTCGGATATGAATTCCTGGGGTATTTATATGATTCCTTGCCAGTGTGGTTTAATTTACATTGGCCAAACTAAGAGTGCCTTAAAATTTTGTGTCAAGGAACATGAGGCATATGTTAGGAAAAAGGAAACACAGAAGTCTTCTGTTGCTCAACATTGTTGGTCCGAAAATCACACTTTCAATTTTTCTGCTGCCAAAATTATTCAAAAAACATCTTCCATTGGAGAACTGGATTTTCTAGAGGCATTTCACATTCAAAAAAATCTTTCTATTCTAGTTAACGATCCTAATTCCAATCCATCTTTGCCTTCGGCCTTTAAAGAAATTATGTTTTAGTTCTGGTTTCACCAACAGATGGCGCCACTTGCTTATTTTTGTCCAGGCCAACGAGATAGTATACTGGTAGAGAGCATATTGCAACCTTCAACCGGTTCCAACATTAGTGTCACGTGACTGCTGCGCGAATTCCGAAAGTCCGGAAATACTTTACATTGCTTTCTATGGGACGAAAGACTGCTGCTCTGCTTGGTTACATAAAATTTAAGTAAAAATGGTTATTCGCTGTAGCGCCTACGGATGTAAAGAAAGTTTCGTGAAATGAGGACTTGTAACCTTTCATAGGTAAGTTAAAACTGCATGATTTATTATTTTATTTTCAGTATTTTTGTCATTTTACTATCTCTGTTGAATTGGTTGGAAAGTTTCAGCCATATTGTATAAGAAAATTGCCGCCGTATATGACATTTTCAGCATGTATTATTAGCATCAAAATGTATTAAATACTGTGACACAATTTACTGGAATCACCCTTTACAAATAATTGAATTTTATATGTTTTTTCCGTGTATTCCGTTGAAATAGAAAGCTGCGCCAATTGGCGTTAACCTTTTTTCGCCAAGTCGTACGCGTTTTGATTTCATAAACAATTACTGCCTGCAATAAAAAAGAAAAATGCTATTATTAGCATTAAATTATTGAGAAAAGATTGTGCGATATGTTTACTTTGTTTAAAAAAAAAGCTGAAGATCTTGATTCATGCAACATTGAACATAAACAGTTAAACAGCATTATTTTAAAAATCAGATTACTTTTATAAAGCTCAATGCTTTATCATTATTTTCTATAAAATCAATTAAAATAATCTGGATTATAATTCTGTCTCATCTACGATGCTGTTAGAAATTTATTGTAATTGAAAAAATGTGATGTGAAAAACTTACCATATTTTAAATAGTATTTAAAAAAAAAAAAAAAGAGAGTGAGAGAATTTTTAACTGTAATATCGTTTTGATCCTAATAATAAATACTGAGTTGAAGTTTGTTACCGTTTGATACATATTCAATATAAAATATTTGTTATAGTTAATAAATTTAAACAAATTTAAATTTAATTTTTAACAAATACGTATAAAAGTAAAAAAGCAAATTTAAATCCTAAAAAAAGCCAAAATAGTTTTTAAAAAAAAT